AACAATAAATCTGACACTGTTGACTTTGTGCCGACCTTTTGCTCCCTACTGACTGTAACACTAAATCTTGTGGTATACACTTATATAAAATAAGAAATAATAGATTGCCATAAGAATTAAAATTAATATCTAATGTCTCTAAACTTCTTGTTTGAATCGTTATTTCATCATATAGTTTTCTTAAACTGGATGCATCACTTGAACGACGTACTGGCTCCAAAGCTAGGATAACGTTCGTATGCATGCTAACTAATATTTCTTTTTTCTCAAATCTGTCAGTCAAGATTTCAATGGCCTTTTTATAGTTTTCTCCTGTGAATGGCAATCCGCTTATAGCTTTTGCATCTGAACCGGTGAGTAAAGATCTTAAATAGTTAAATTTCTCAACATCTTGAAGCGTATTGTTTTCGTGAATGGCAGTTTTATACTGAGCTCAAAATTCAGTAAATTGACATAAATCGCTGCTGAAAGTTTCTAAAGTAATGCGAGGTAATTTAGTGATATAATTAATTTTGATTTCCAAAACTTGTGAAGTTGTTCCGGTTTTACCCACATTTTAAATATATCTATTGACTTTCGATTTACATCTAATGATGGATTCGCTGTATTCTGAAAAATGTTCTACATCTGTCTCTAATTCCTGAACAGTGCTTTGAGCATAAATAACTTCATCATATTTTAACAAGCTAGTTTCTCTCTCGATTAACACTGAAAGCGATTCCTGCAACACTTCTAGGTTCGGATTCTCGCTTTGCAATTCATCTTCCAGTTTCCTTATTAATTTTGTTACACTTGTACGAACTGGACCTCAATTTTTGTATTTCTCTCAACGGTTTCCTCAAAACTCATTTTCAAAGATAATTTGCATGCAGATAGAAATGAAATGACTTACCTTTCGGCCTGATGCTACCAAAAATTCTTGTATATAATAACTTATTTAATCTTCCATTATCGGTGGTTCTTGTGTTCTATTGGCCCAAACAAAGACATTTTCCTTTAACTAAATCTATTTAATGAAGAGAAGAATGTGTACAAATATTATATACAGATTACAGGATATCTAGTTTATGCCGCTCTCATCCACTCTCATCAAACTCTCTCTGGTGAAAACTTTTAATTAACTACACATACAGGCAGCGCAGCGCCCTCTGTCTCTTTTTCTACATGTACCATGTATTTTGTGTGACTTTGATTTACATATTTATTGTGATTTGAATGCATGAAGCATCATTTATCAATAAAATGATTGAACTAAAGGATTTTTCTCAACCAAAAGAAATTTTCTTTATTAAATTCCAGAATAAAATCCTATAAAAATGAGAGTGTTACTGAATTAACTAGCATTACCTAACTTAAATATGAATAAGATGCCATTGCTTTTAAGATGGGATATTGTTTCAGTTAAAGCAGTATTTTAAGTTTTGTGGATAAAGTTGATGTTTTTTTCTCGTGTGTGCACACACACTGGAGAGTTGAAATGATATGCATATATCTTATGAAACATCAAATTTGTGCAAATAAAAAGATTGCATTAAAATTTACTAACTAGATCTTGTTTCTAATTCTGTACTCTTCCCATTGAAGAATTTTTTAGTTGTGAATTTGCAATGTGAGCACCAGATGAGAGAAGTTAGTTGAACAGCATTGTAATGTGGTTACTCAAATAATTACTTTTTTAATGTGAAAAATATGTGATCCGCATGTTAATTTGATTTTGATTTGCCATTTATTTCATTCATAAATCAAATTGTCTTGCATTTTACTGTTGAATTCTAATAATCTCAACACCTTGGCACCTGGTTTATGTTATTAAAATTCATACAGTTCTTTATTTTGTGTACATTTTTTCCTTTCTAATTTTTATGCTAAGTATGTGTTATTTGTATATCAATAACTGCTAAAATATATTCACACATTAAGAATTATTTAATGCAAAATTAATATTCTTTACATAAGATTCCAAAAAAACTTCCCCACAGGGTCCACTCTCAGGACATTTATATTAGAACTATGCACTCACAACACCCATTCTGTGTGCACATTACTCATCTTAGGATCACATCACTGTTTCTGCTTTCACATTAACAGTTCTTAGTAAAACCATTATATGGTGTAATGTTCATTTATTCTTAAGAAGAGTGTAGAACTTTTCAGAAAACTTTAGAGCCTTTAAAGCAGAATTTAGTGTACTGTCTATCAGTTTTTCATGAATATTTCGAAAACAATGAAGAAATTTATCAAAATGAATGGTGATTTTCTGGTTGAAAAAAAAAAAAGAAAAGAAAAGAAAAGAAAAATCAAAAACAGTATCAGTACTTTCTAAAACTGTTAAATGGCGCCTTATTAATTATCTCTTTAGCACAGTGTAGAACTTTCTAGGACAGTTAATAAGTTTTCAGTAATTTCAGTGTGACAAATAGTTTATGAATAGTGCCTTCAATTATTGTTCTATAAATGAATAATGTCTTAAGGATGTTAATTGACATGTGTGCTATAAGAGTGCCAAATTGAATGAAGATTAAAATTGCATACCTATGAAAGTAAATGGCGTAATGCCAGTTTATTTAATTCTGTTGGATGATTACAGCTTCACTGTTTCGTCAGCTGGAACTTAAGCTGATCATGTTTCACTTTTTCTTTCCTGCCCTTATTTCCATTCTTCAAGTTGGTTTTTGCCTGCATTGACAAAGCAGTGACAGTTATCAACTGTGGCAGAATAGCTATCTAGAGATATACAGAGGGAAGATTTTGAATTCTTTGTTGCAACATTGTCTGGTCATCAGGGCTGTGGAGTCGGAATCGGAGTCAGGTAGATTTTTGGGTAAAAGAAGTCGGAGTCGCTAAAAAACACGTCAACTCCAACTCCAGTTTTTGTTGAACAGTTTGAATTTGAAATGAAATTAAAATGAATTGAAAAAAAATAATGACAAACTGAGTTAATATATTTATTTATGAACCATATACATTAATAAATAGTTATTTTCTATTTTATTGGCATATTACTAAATAAATATAAGGGAGCAGGATGGATGTGATATTTTCCATTATTGAATAAACTGATTCATTTAGTTACTAATATCATTGGTGAATTTAGGTAAGCGGCAAGAACTCCCAAAATTGATGTCATTCTTAGGGAGTAGCACAATTCTTAGGGAGTACATATTTGATGATACAGTGGCTGTTAGGATTAAGAACTTTTTCTGAAGATGTAAAATCCTAATATTTGACTAACAAGGAGATGATCTTGCAGAACTGGAAACCCTTCTTTCAACGCCGTATATAGCCACAAAATAGCTACAGTCTGAAGAATTAACAGGAAACGAGAATGTTAGAAGATGTAGATAACCCTAATGTTTCACTAACAGAAAGACTGTGGAATGATCTTGCAGAACTGGAAGCTCTTCTTTCTATACTGTATATAGCCACCAAAAAGCTACAATCTGAAGAATTAACAAAAGGCAAGACTGAAAGAATGGGATGTTTGTTCTTTCTGAAATGGAGGGTTTATTGCAGAAGGAATCATTTCTTCAATGAAGAAAAGAGAAACTAGTTTGCTAGACAATAAGATCGTGCTCGGTTCAATATATGTAGATCCAAAACGCCGAATTTTGTTGAATGACAAACAAATTAAAAAGGCAAAGAAAGCCATCTATGAAACTTTCATTAAGAATGAAATTATTTCTCAGAACAACTGGCAGTATTCGAAATCAGGACAGTCAAACTGCAGATATTGCAACTGAGTCTCTATCATCCTCTTCCACTGATGAATTAGATTTTGAGAAATATTTGGATAATATTGAAAAGGCTTAAGGCAAAGCGGATGAAAATAAATAACCAAGAGCCTTTAGATATAAAAATGAAAAAATACAAACAAGATTTTATACATGGCCTTTGAAGAAATAGATAAATATGATTGCTCTTGCAAGACACCTCTTTTAGAACTTATAAAAATCTATCCTGAAAAGTTAAAGGAAGTAGTCCTAATAGTAACAGCTCTTCTTTCTACTCAAGTCAGTGTAGAAAGACTTCTCAGTTCTGAAGTTTATCAAATCAATCTATGGTCCTATAACAAAGAAGATCTTGCCAAAGTTTTACTGTTTCTTAGAAATGACTAATGCCAGTTCTTGCATTTCATAATAAATATTAATTAATGTAAAAATTTTGCTATGCATCAATTTTTTCTGTAGCATCTGATACTTCTTTTATATTAAAAAATAAGCTGTACCTATGTGTATTTGTTTACATATATATGAAGGAGTCAAAGTCGGAGTCATTAAAATTCCAGGAGTCGGAGTCGGTAATTTTCCCTACCGACTTCACAGCCCTGCTGGTCATAATTGTTATTGCTTCACTAATTTTATGGCTATTTTTTATGGATGGTATTAACTTTATTCCATTGTATTTTAGAGTTTGGTTGCAAATTAATTCAAACCATTCTTGTAAATAAGAAAAAAAAAATTTAAAAAAAAGTGCAGAGAGAGAAGAATTAGCCATTAGAGAGAATTAACTATATTAATATAGTTCTAAGTAAGGGGTTGCAACAATCTTCAATATTGAATAAAGATAAGGAAAAAAGGTTATGCTTAATGAAACCCTTTATAATGTTATTCGATTTAAACTGTTATTGAAATGTTGTTGTCAATAAACAGTATTCCAGGCAGCATTGTTTATATTGCTTTGGAAATAAACACTGTCACTTGGATTTGTTGGATCTATCTTTAATCTAAATCAGTATTAAAATGAAATATATAATGCAGTTTTTTTAGTGAGATAATAATCTGAAATCCATATAATCAGAAAAAAAGTGATGAAAATGTTACATCTTTCTATAATTTTTGGGTATAGTTTTTAATTTTGTACTTAATAGTTTAGAAGATTTGCTGCCTCTAATGTCTGTATAATAGTAGTTTTGCTTATATAATTTTACTTGTTTTTCCTCCAATTTTTAAATTTTATATCAGTCTTACCTCAATTTCTTCACTGTTTTCCCCTCCCTTTAGGGTGTGAATCCAGCCATTCAGTCAAAATATGGAGAAACTGCGAGATCTTTAGCCATTAAAAATGGACATTCTGATATTAAAAAAATAATTGATACTCATTTATGTCCAAGACAAATGTGTGAGTATATATTATTTGCTTCTTACGCTTAATCTGTGGTTGCATTTTCTTTTCTTTAACTAATTACTTTTTCCCTATTCTGTTAAATAATTTTGTAAATAAAACTGGTATTGTAATGATTTTCTACCACAATACACCTAAAATTTTGGGAAGATGAAACCGTCGAATACATCAGATTATTTTACAGAATAAAGCTTTGTTAATAGAGCTAGAGGATATTGTTTGGTCCTTGAAAACTTATTTAGAAGCTAGTTAGTTATCTCTTCCCTCAAAGCACATATTTCCAAAATAACATAAATGTTATTTTGAATGTATAATGAGGATAAATCTATATTCTGTGCATTTAAATTTATATATTAGATAACCAGATACCAAAGTATGATTCCATCACCTCAAAGCATGCATTTCTTCTGTTCAAGAGTCCATTGTCATGAAACTGTATAGAAACTCAGCTAATTGTATTAAAGATGCTGTGTTATCTTTGATATTAAATGTGTTAATAATTCATTTTTTGGAGCTCTTGAGTGCAGTCATTTTCATGCTGTGTTGGTTTTCAAGATTGCTGCTGAGAACAAGTATACTTTATTTTATTTTATTGATTTGTGTACTTTATTTTTAACTTGTAGTTTAAAGTGAAAAACACAAATAGTTTGCAAGTAAGAATGCATAAAACAAACGTACGTCAGAAAATCAGCATTTCATTCAATTTCTAGCACTCAGTATCTTTCACTGAATTGGAGACTTCATGCACTACCAAGCATTTTATGTCTGTTCTGCTCATTCTTCATCTTTCCAATAGAGTGAGCAATCTGGGATTGTTAAGATATGAATATGGTGAAAATAATTTATCAAACATTCTCTCCAATGACAGGTCTGAATTCTGCTTTTGCATGACTTTTGTCTAGTATTTGTATAATCAGATTGCATTTTCAGCCCTTAGATGTAAGTAAATAACTGTTCATTCCACTTGAGCTGCAAACATTTATGAATGTAAAGTTTTGTAAAATAGTAAGTGATCTTTATATTCAGCTGTTGGTATAATCTTTTTTAAGCATACTCACATTTTTCTAGCCTACTAACCTGCTTGTTTCCACAGGAAGATTCATAAAGATAGGTTTCATCTGATTTATATGAGTATCTACTTTAATAAGTTATAAAATTTACAAAATTTGAGGACTTTATGGTAGCCCTCGCTTTTTTAGTTTAAGTCATATTCTGAAGTTCAGCATCTTTTGAAGAAAACCATATTGGATCTTAAAACTTCTTCCTGTAATTTCATTAGAATTCCAAAATTGCTTATCACTTATGATCTTTTGTAAAGTAAGAGAGCATTTTCTTCAGTCATAAATTGAATGATTTAATATTAGTAAAAGTGATTTGAGTAAATGGGGGTGGTTTTTATTGCAACACAAATCAACTGAAATGTTTGATTTTGTAAGTTTTCAATTTTTCCATAGATCCATTAGAAGCAGTTGTTAAAATCTGAAAGTAGTAAGCAACAATAGGCAAAGTAATGGTTTTAAATGTATAATGAAGGGTTAAACAGGCATACTTCCACAACAACCAACAGAATAATTTAGTTCGCAAGTAGCATGGCAACGGCGTTGCAAAATCATCGCAGATGTCATTGCAAAAACATTGCAATATGTCTATGTCGTCTGTAAGATGCCCAGATTGCAAAGATGTCTTTATTACATATTTGCAGATGAGTTTTTTATCGCTTAGACGTTGCTATTGCGTCTTTCGCAGGTTATATTTTGGTTGTGAAAGCATCGTATCACGACGTCTTACAGATGCCTACATGTTCACAAAATTCCACCTTTTTGCAATAGTTATGAAAATGTCGTTATTTTGTCCTTGTGTTACATTTTGATTTATGCAGAAAAATAAGCTTTATAATTAATATATTTTTTTTCTTTTTTAAAATTTTGTATTCCTTGTATTTATCTAAAGTTGAAATATTTTATCATTTCCTGAAAACCAGAAGATAATATAATTTTTTCTCTTTAGAATAAATCAGATAATCAGACATAAATAAAAGTAAAGATATATATGTGGGTAAAAAAAAAAGAGCATTTCTGATTATAACAGCATTATCCACATTTATTTCTGTTAAATCTCAGAGACATTGAAAATTCCCCTGTCATGATAAATTAGGAAGCGATTCTTGAAGGTAACATAATCAGTATTTTCCCTGAAACTCAAGTATCAATTTATTTGCGTTTTATAGTAAAAAAATATAACCATTAACTTCTATATCTCCAAGATATGCAAATGAAACACTGTATAAAGTAGTTAATAAATGTGATCAAAAGTATTTCATACAAAAATATATTTAAATCTAACAACCAAAAAAAAAACTTCCCATATTCATATCTAAAATGAAATAATAACCTAACAAACAACATACATGACAACACTATTTAAGAAAAACATGAACTAGCAGTGTTTGAAAGTATAAATAAGCAGAATGAAGGTAACAGAACTAAAATTTCCAATTAATAAAAAAATTATTAGTGTCTGATGTTTTTAACATTATTTCTTTCGATCATATGTTAATGTATTTACTTATTTTTAGTTTCTACATTTTAGAATAGTGGTAGATTACAATGATTATTTCATGCACTTAATATAATCAATAACTTTTCCTTTTGTTACTGTATAGAAATAATTTAAATAATATAGTATACGATAGTAAACTAAGCACGTTAAAGTAAGCTCTTCGTTAAATAGCACACAATGAAACTTTTTGTTTTTATTTATTATGAATTTCTTTGTTATCACAAGCACATAAAAAGCAAGCAAAGAAAATAGAATATACTTAAATTTAATAAAAAATAAAACCTAATTTCCAACAGTCATTTAGTGGGATAATCTAATAAACATACATAATGGCAATATTTAAAAAAACGCGAATTACACAGTGTTTGGAAGAATAGATACCAAACGAAAAGTAATAAAACTGCAGTTTGCAATCAATAAAAAATATTTAGTATTTTTTATTATTACACAATTAAATATCACGTACTTATAGAATACAATATTTCATAGTAATGCTAATGTTTCCTTAACACTATTTTTTCGATCATACATTTTATACACTTTAAAATCATTAACCTTTTCTGCATACTATACAGAAGACAACATAATATAGAATGTGCATTATTATTAATTTTAATGCATTCCTTGTATTTTTCAAATATGTTTTTACATATATCTAATTCATCTTCAACAGTCATATTAAGTACCAGTCCACTAATTTCTTTCTATTTTGAAGTTCATGAACATACCATAACAGCTTGAATTGTTGTTGCTTCTGCATCGATTGCATTTTCAACAAAATCAGAAAATGCCTTAATGTTGTATTTTGTTTTTGGTTTTATATGAATTAATTCTGAGCACCAACACAATAATCGATTAATATGAATGATATACGATATAGCACTTAGGATGCCATAACTGAATCGCCAATCTGTGTATCCAAATATTGCACCGCTGGGGTCACTGAAGATTGGAGAAAACCACCATATAATTTTAATCACTGGTAACACATAAAACACCAAAACAGAACATTATTTCACTGTATATGGACGATTTTAGCATGCTGCATCTGATATTTTCTTTAAACGGTGCACCCAAAATTCAAAATTTTCGTGTGGTTTTGTAAAACAGGTATTCACAAACAAAATAAGCAGAAATTTGGCATTACCACGGTGATTTCTCCTCAATTCAAAATTAACTGCCATCACTATATTCTTGTGCATCATTCTCTTTCTGTATTGAAGCTCTCCAGTATTTAATTCTGATGGTCAATTGCAAAACCGGGACAAAAACACTCCTGAAAATAAAATGAAGTCCGAAATTTATTGCTCATTTAACTAAGGTATTCAAATTTGGCACCTAGCCTACGATTGCATTAAACCTTCAACAGTTCTGATAATTCAATAGAATTTTTTTTAAATGGCTTAAAAGAATTATTACAATGTTCTGTGAACAAACAATGTTCACAAGGTTATATTTACAAAAAATATTTATCAGGCTCACTAAAACATTTGTAATGTCAATATCGCCAAATACCGAGTGTACCGTGTACTAGGATTAAACCAAACATTTTTTAATGCATTTAGATGGACGACAATGTGAAAACATAAAAAAACAGTTCATCAGAATTTTTATAGGTAATGAATTCCGTATTTTTGTTTACAGTTTCTTTAATTTTGATGTCAACATAATTTATCGTATCCATTAAATTTGTCATTTTCCGTCAAAAGTGTTAATATTTCTTTCTCCTTTTCCATTAATTTTTCTGTTCTGCTTCTCCTGACTGTTGGTGAGTTTTCCGTCATATATATTGGACACGGCTGTCGAATTGCCTTATTTTTATCCGGAATACATCTTCACACATAATCATATCTTCGTGAAAACTTTACTTCTTGCACTGTATGCGGTAAAATGTTTCATATTATATCACCATAATTCAAGTAAATTCATCCTTACTTCAAAAATAATAAAGTCATATTTCAGTAGTGAAATAATTGCTAATATGTGATTTGCGTTGATTTCAGAAATATGATTTTTTTAAATATATAAAATTCACAACTGAATAACTTACTTTATAGATAGTTTCATTTTTTAATATTTTGCTATATATTTATAAATAAATATTTTAAGTATTAATTATTTAAAAAAAATTTTAACAATAATTAGCACATATTTTTTAGTACTAATTAAATTTAATATATTAAAAGTATTTATATTAAATTTATATTCATTAGATGAATCTACCTTAGATTAATATATTTAGATGAAATAAAGTAATGAAACATGTCTAAATTAATCTTATGTGGACTTCAGAAAGGGCAGATTTAGTCTCTTTTCATTCTAAAAGTAACGCTGATGAACTATGAAAAAGATGCTAAAACAACCACGTCTAAACGCGGTCATATCATGACATTTCAGCGACGTCGGCAAATTTCCAAGATGCAACGGCAAATATTTTG